TTTGATTGGGAATTTTTTCCCAAATCTGTCGCTGTGGCGCAGAAAGTTGTAGGGACTAGGTGTCCTGCACCATATATTATTAAAAGCCATCAAGTACTATTGGCTTATCAAAAATGGTATCTGCTCATCAGGGGTGATCATTTTTAAAAAATAATTGCACCAAATGATTTGTTTAGAAGTCAGGAAATAATTTGTTGCAGCCAGATTTTTTGTTTTAACTTACTAGCAAATGTTATAAGGGTTTAAAACCTCACTATTTTTGTGGCATTTCATATATAATTTCAAAATTTGCCATCTGTTATAGTATTGTAAAATAAAATTAATTAATTTCTCTTTTATTTCATTGGTCGAAAATAATTTCACGTAATATTTTCCCACATAACTTATTTGTATCACAATAATTGCCTTAAATTCTATTGGCTAAAACACAGTCCGCTTGTATCACAATGATTTTCTTGAAATTTATTGGCTAAAATTTGTGCATGTGATAAATTTTAAAAACTTAAAATTTGCCATCACTTGATGGTTTTTATTGTCACCCACTGTAGTACTAATACTATCAGTGTTAGAATTATTACCATCACATTGTTGTTGAGAGTCAAAACTTGATTTTTTCCCTTAGATTCATATGAAAGCTAATTATAATAAAGTTTAGACAAAAACCTAAACTTAGAAATAAATATTTTTGAACATTCATGTAAAATTTCCAGTAACAAAGAAAATTTTCTATGGTTTTAAATAAACAGAATCAATTTTATCTTGTTGTGAAATTTAGGGATGTTAATTGATTATACAAAAATTGATTTTTCCACAATCAATTAAAGTGATCAACAAAATTTTATAATCAATTGTAAATCAATTATCAATTTAATCAAAAAAATTGAAAAAAAATTAAGTGTTAAATAAATTAACAGTAGTAATGATAATAACAATAATAATTGCAATAGTAATAATAATAATAGTATAGTAATATTTGAAGCAATTTTAATTTTAGAAGTCTGGTTTTAAAAATTAAGTGCCATAACCTAACAAACAAATTCATACATAATATACAAATTAATATACATATTTCATTCTAAACATTATAAGCATAATAATAGCAGTGCTAATAAAAACAACAACAATAGTATTGATAATCATGATAATGACAATTAGGTTAATAATGAGATTGTTGATGAGAAAGAAAGAAGCAAAATTAAATATTGAGTGCGAGGCTGACCTGCATACAGTGTGTTACATAAAAATAAGCCGAGATTTATATTTATAATTAAAGAATCGTTATTATCAGTTATTGTTTTTTTTGTTTTTTACACTTTGAAAAATTTGTTCAATGGTGATGATAATAATTATGGTGGTGGTAATAAAGAGATTATTCTTAGTGAGTGACAAATTCATTCAATTAAATAAATAGATATCGATAGTAATGCCTAGAGCTTACTGGTCCGAACCAGAAATGGTTCGAATCAATTCGAATGAACATTCGAATTGTAGGGGCCATAAAAATATTCGAATGTTCGAATCAAGCGAACCCATAAAATTATTCGAATACTCGTTGCTTTTTTTAGTAAAGATTTTCAGTAAAGCTGTCCTTTTATTTAATAGTGCGTGACAAAAATTCTGTTGGGTACATTGTTTTTTATAAAGGCTGATGGTTTCTTCGCATTGACTATCAGTTAAAATGACATTTTGGGCTTAAAATTTTTTCAAGGATTTGTTGTTTATACAAAAATTTCAAGACAACATGACGTTTATTAATGACATCAAGAATTTCTTCTGGCATAATTTTTACAATTTCATAGTCTATATGATATTATAAAACTCATTGCAATTTTACAGAATAAGCTTTTTTTACATAGGACTTGTAGTAACTGCATAATATTATGTCCAAAAAAAATTCTTGGTGATTTCATTTGGATTTTGAATCCAAGGAATTTAAAAACCTGAAAATTTATTTGGAAATTAAAAATGACAAACTACATGCTTCAAGGTTGTTTG